CATTCCGGTCTACATCCTGGCGGAAGGGAAGGTGGTCGAAGTCCCCCCTCAAGCGCTTGAAGCGCAGCATTGGTGGCAAATGCAGCTCCTCTTGCGACGAAAGCTGTCGCAACTTGCACGCTAATGACATCGTTTACCTCGGCCGCGGCTGGTGTAGGGCCGAATTTGAATGGGCCAAGCCCTACACCGTCGACATTTCGCGGCGAGGCGTGTGCCTGCGCCGCTGCTGCGCTCAGTATGACTCGAATTTTCACAGGTTCTCGCTGCCCTGGACGCCTGAGGCGTTCCAGAGAAGTGTAGCCACTCACGCGTTGAAATTCACGCACCGCGGTGACATCGGCCCGGTGCTCGAATTGCAACGGACGGTGTTTCAGCAGAAAGTGGCGACTCTGGAGAATTTCGATTGCAGCTGGCTTCCATTCCACGAAGTCCACGACTTGGTGGAGCTTGTGCCGCTCCTGCAGGCGGTGCATGTCTTCACGCTATCCGCCGCCTATGTCGCAAACTCCCAGCAGCTCGCCTTGGCGACCGCCTTGGGGACTCGCCAAACACTGCAGACGGTGATTATCAACTCCGTCCAGCTGAGGCCCGACGCGGTGCAAGTCCTGGCCGCGGCACCGTGGCTCCGCACGCTGTGGCTGATCGACTGCGGCCTGGGCGACGCCGGCGCCGGCGTCGTGGCGAACGCCCTGGCGCAGCGCCCGACGCTCCGAGAGGTGTAGCTGCGATTCAACGCCATCGGCAGCCGTGGAGCGACGGCCTTGGCGACGGCCTTGGAGTCCAACGACGTCTTGGAGGAGCTCCGTTTGGATTTCAACAAGATCCGCTCCCGCGGCGCAGTGGCTTTGGCCGAGGCCTTGCGAAGCAACGGCACCGTGAGAAGCTTGGTGATCAAATACAACCCGATCGGCGCCCAGGGCGTCCGAGCTCTGAGGAGTGTTGCAGAGAGGATCGAGGTGGACCACGAAGGGTTGGAGGCAAATGCAGACGCTTCCTGGTGCGGATGGATGTGCTGCATCCTGATTCGGGTCTTGATGTGGATCTTCATCACCATTGCTTTGCTTCCTATGAAATGCTTCACATTGCGGCAGGGGGCCATCGCTTGCATCAGCACCCGGAGGAAACCCTCCCAACCTGAGAAGATTGAGAAAATGAAAAGACCATTGGACGTGGAAGAACCTGATGCCAGTAGCTGCAGTGTGGAGCCCAAATCACCAAATGAAGCTGAGGAGATTACAGAATGCAGGCTCTAAAGTTGCGCTTTGACAGAATTTCGCCGTTTGAGGATGATTCGATGTTATTTTCTTAATGAATGAATTCAGATTCACTTATACAGTTTCATCTAATTAATCATGCAACCTGGCCGCATCGCTAGCCCCCTTTGTGCGAAAAAAGAATCCAAGATGCAGCCGAAGCACCGTTTTGTGGGCCACGCCCAGCAAAAACCTGCGGGCGGGATATGTGGTGGCAGAGAAAGATCAGTTCGGCCGTTGACCTCAAGTTACTTCAGAAAGACTTGGAAGTAGGACTCAGCTCAGATCGGGCCTATAGAATCAACAGATCTGATTTCATGTCCGACTCGTTTTGGTTCCGATCCGCCCCGATTTAGGTTGGGCGTCAGGAGGTGGACAGGAGGTTGTCCGACTCGTTTTAGCCCTCCGTTTGACGTGCATCGACCCGCAAGCCCGCTCCGGGACATTGACTTCACCTCCGAAGAGGGAACGGAGAAGTGACCGATTTTTTCGGTTTTTGTGACTCACGTCGTTCTGGTGAAGTTTCAACCCGAAGTCCACCTCCTTTCGCAACGCCATTGATCCAGGCGTTTCGGTGTGGCCGGCTCCGGCTCCGGTGTTCCCTGTTGGACCGTGAAATGTTTGGGTCGTGACGGAGAATCCCCGTACCAACCCGAAGAACGACCGGTTTTTTGCGCCACGAAGCCTTTCATTCAACGAAACACACAGAAGGCAGTCATTCAGACGAAGGCAACCAGCCCCTGCCCCCATGCGGATCCATTCCGACCCATCCGCAGGGTCCTTGGCTTTGGACGTGCAGCCCTGCGGCTGTGGGAGCCCTGGCAGTGGCACGGCACGGCGATGAGGAGCTTCGGCTGCGGTGCCTGTGGATTTTGTGGGTTCTGAGGATTGGAAGACCATGGAATGCGCGTTTTGTTAATCGTGCCTGTTTGCGCTGCATGATGTCACCATATATAATACCATATATACCTTCACCAACCAAACACGCAGAAAAAATAACGTATAGGGTTCACCGGGTTCACCGGGTTCACCAACTTGGGTTCACACAGAAAAAAATGGCGTAGGGCTCACCAGGAAACACCATGTCTTTCAATCAACACACACTGTTTTCTTGAAAGTCGCGGTGGTGTTTTGGGAGGTTTTGGGGATCTCTGGGGAGTGGTCATTCGCTGAGATCTGGGAGATTGCATCGACGTCGTCACGACGTTGATTTTCACCTCCAAGGTCCCCAGGCCAGGAACTCCCTTGTTTAATCTTGACCAGGGTATTTTGGGCGAATGTTTGATACACCACGCCTGTGGTTTGGGTGAGAACATGTGACAACGGAGCTATAAAGCTGGAGATGCACGCAGTTTGGTGACTAGCTCTCCGGTTAATTACTCCCCCACAAGAACTATACGTATAAACGTTTGCTTGCTAAAGAAGCATGTAATCACTGTAGTCGGTTCCTGGCTTGGCGTGTTTCGATCTCTTTAGGTCAGACGTGCTGTCACGTGCCAACCTGCCTGACACCTCCTGACATCTCGAGCCTCTTAAGACCTAAAGATTCCCTTCCTCACGACTTGGCTCTGCAAAGAAAACCACAACCATCAACTTTTGAAGGTTTCTCACCCTCGCCCTCGCCATCGCCCAGACGATCCGAATGGCGCGGCGTGGCCGCCGAGGCCGTGGCAAAGCGGTTTTGGGTCTTTTTGTGATGGGAAGGTCCCTTTTAATTCACCCACCTGGAAAAAGACAACTCTCTCTAGTCATCTCTACTCTACTCTAGTCATCTCTCTTTGTGACCGAAGACGTTGGATGACCTGGGCGAAGACCGAGTCCGAGCTTTGAGACAGTTTGGAAGGAACATACATGTCAGTCGTGCTGATATGACCTGTCGCTTCACCTAACTTGACCAACTTATTTCCACACGTTTCCACGTCCCAAATCATCCTCAATCCGACTCAATCTAACTGTTTGTGATTGTGTGTATCTTTTTCCGGGTGGTTTTGAGACGGTGATGTTGGTTTCACAGATTCCCTGCCTTCTTAGTAATTCAGTATTTCCATTAAACAATTGCTTAAATCACCTAAATCACCTCCTAAATCACCTCTTGATTGACATGAGCAACGACGAGCAACGTCGCCTCGCCAGATGCTCGTCCTCTTGGGCCACCTTCGCCGTGCCTTGGTTTGGTTCTGCCCGGCCGGCGGCCGGCGCTGGACGTCGACCGGAGACCGGGGAGAGGCCGTTCCAATGGCCGAGGTCTGGAGAGCGCCAGTGCTTCGAAAGGAGGTGATGGGTGTTGCATTTTGTGGTGGTTGGGATGGGCTTGCCTCCCAAATGGACCATTTTGGTACGTTCTAATTATATATTTAAGTTGGGTTCCCTGTGCGGGTTTTGTGCTTTCCTCCATTCCAGTTCCTCGTATTCCGAAGGACCATTATGGAGAAAAATACAGCAAAAAAGAAGACCTACACTTCCAACAACAAGCACCAGATGTTTCCTACGCTTGGGAAAACATCTCCGGATATCTCTCAACAAGTTTCCCCAACTCGTTTCGATCGAAAACGGCGCTGTTCAACAAGAACCTCCTGCTCCTCGTTTTTCGCCGGGATTGGTCCGGATCTTCCCAGACCTGGTCATATCTCACATGCGAAGTTGGGGTCAGGTTGGACGGGTTCATGAGGCTTTTGTGGTTGTTTCTCTTTAAACGTTTCTTTTAAATCTACTTTGAGTCTTTTGGGAAAGGATTCATGTCTTGTGAACGACGTAGGAGTTTTCGATACGTTCAATGTATCTTTAAGAGATCTTCAGTTCTTATATGTTCTAACAAACCGAAGTTCTTTCTCAACATTGTGGGGAATTGGTTGTGTTGGACCCTTGCATCTCTCGAAATCAGGGAGGTTCTCCTGGAAGACGTTCACAAACTCGGGATTTTGAGCACAACGTTCATCGTCTTGCCAGTTCTTGTCAATTTGTTCTAGAATTATTTGGTGTGTTCTCTCTTCCTCTTCATCAACCCGCAACTCAGGTGATGTGGCAGTGAAGCACGGCGAAAGCTAGGCGGGCCAGATGGCATGACAGGGAGCAAGGAACACCCACAGTTCGAACACCCACTTGGACTTCTTAACAGTCTTAATAACTACTTCCTTTTTTTTTTCACCTGCTGCTGTAGATATAGGTCCCGGTAGACCCAACTTTCCAAGTGAGTTTAGACATTCAAAAAGAGCAACCTCAAAGGTCGTACAAAGGTGGAAAAGAGGTGGGTTGGTAGCTCGCTGATCTTGTTTGATAGGCACGTCCTTTCAATTAACCCACCTGGGAAGACAGCTCTCTACTCCCTCCCTCCGTTTTTGACCGAAGATGTCGGATGACTTGTGGGAAGTGCTAGCTTTGACCGTTTGGAAGGTTCTCATCACTGATTGCTTTTGTGATTTCTTTTGGACCTTCAAGTCACCTGAGAGTTGTCCACTTTTATTCCCGGGGCCCCTTTGTTTGGTAGAGACTGTGACGAAAACTAATTAGCTGGAGAAGGACACATTGAGCGTCAAGCGCTTTGAAGGAACAAACAACTGGACATCCAAGTGCTGCTTTTTGGAGACCGCTGCTCTCCAAGCGTCTCAAACAAACGCGACGTTTTTCCACAGATGGAGTCGGAAAACCACACCTTCCCAGGTCCTCAAAACCAGGCCTCGAGCCAGCGAGCCAGCGGGATTCGCCGCGTTTTTACGAAGGGCCGACGGGGTTTGTCATGCTTTTGCCCCCGCACTTGAGAGAATGGGACCAGTCCATGTTTCATGGCTTCGGAGAGTTTGCTCAAGGTTTATGGGCAGAGAGTCTTGACTTTTTTGGGGATGCTGTGTCCTTTTCAGAAGCAGCTCAGGGTGTTTTCGCAGTGGGGCTGGCATACCTATCATAGCATTTAGTATGAAGAACGTTGTTTGTACCCTCGTCATTGGTAGGAGTTCTTTCTTCAACAGTCGTTTGTCATCTTTATCCCTTTGCCTTACAATGCAGACATCATGTTTGCCGCCTTGATCCATCCAGGAACAGCGCAAACATGCTTCAGACCACAAGCTCTTACCCATCTCCAGCTACTTCTCTATGGACATCCAAACCACAAACCCCACAGCTGAGAGTGAGGACATGAAAGACACTATATCCCATAGGCTCCTCATCCAGTCTCGTCCAGGTCTCGTCCGACTCAGACCTCCCAAAAACCACCCAGACTCACCTCACCCAGACTCACCCAGACTCCGCACTTCACGGCCTTCGCCCAGTCGCAGCGCCGCCGGGCGCCGCCGCGGCCACCGGAGCGGTCGAGGCGGGGAGACCCGGGCGGCGAGGCGGCTTTGCTGGGCCAAGGGGAGTCAAAGAAGGTCAAAGAGCACGAACCGAATGAAGAGCAATATTGAATTTGGAAGAGCGCCTGCACAAGCTGGGGGTGGCTTAAGTAGATGAAGTGTAGCTATAGTATAGCAATTTCTTTGAGCCAGTCGGAGGGAAAAGGGTGGGAATGTTGGTGGGATGTCACCACGGCTGATTGAAGAGCGAAGTTGAGATTCGTTGATGATATCCTGTATCATCAGGTTGGTAGTTGCTCGACCCCCAAGATGCATATGAACAAGTCACAAGGAACAACCACTTCGTGTCCGTGGTTTTTACTGGAAAACTCATGATCAGCATGAACTTCGAACGCATGCCCCAATCCAGAAGGCTTCAGTTTCTCAAGCCCAGAGCGGCTTTCAAAGGTGGCTTGACCCCGATCCAGAAGAATCAACATTCACTATAGTTAGTGCACAGCCTGCAAAGCACATCAAAGCACTAACAATCTAAAATCAATACTTTCTGCTATATTAAAAGCAAGCTCACATCGGGCAATGCATTATTAGCTCAACACGTTGCACGTATATAATTTTTGGGCAACAGCAAACCAGCTGCGAGCTGCCATGACCGAAGTACGCCCCTGCACGATTGGCAAAGCATCAGAGGAAGGTGAGGAAGGGCCGGCGCAGCAGGAAGAGTCTGTGGACAGCTCGGAAGAATACGAGCTGAATTCCTTCGAAGAGCCTCAGAGACAAGGGAGTTTGGCGTTTTAGGTACGAGGAAAGGTCAAAGTTAAAGTGGAATCACCAGGACCTTCAAAGATATCCCAGGATGAGGTCACTTAGGCCTGTAAAAGGAAACTTAGACTTAGAGACTCCAAAGAGGTCAATTCGAAGGAAGACACATGTGATGACTTTCAACAAAGTGCTGTTGAATGCAAGACGTGACATCCAGCAATGACGATGCCTCCATTTTCCATTCGGAAAACAATCCGAGGCCTTCCGAAGGTACTGCATCAACGCCAACATTGCGTTGGTGAGACCAGAGTTCCTGGAACATCTTTGCCAAGAGGGGCGGGTCTGGCCGCGGAGGCAGGAGGCCGAGCAAATCCCAGGAGCTGGTTGGCCAAGCAGGTTCAGGTTCGCGCACATGTCACTCGTAGAGCTTGTGCATCCTCCGTTTTGATTTCAGGTTGAGGGGCATTCCAGATATGTTGCTTTGATGTTTATGATTGCTTTCTTCCGCAATGGATCTAATGCATGTTCAACATGGCTGGATTTGCTTATAGCAGCTATACCCAACATCTTGGCCGAATCCCAGCATCATTTGATTCTTTTTAACCAAGCTGGATTTGGATTAGAGTTTCTCCCTCGTGGAGCCAGCAGATGTTCAATCCGCTGGCGGCGCCAGACTCGGTACCAGGAGCTTTGTACAAGCCTGGGCCCGATGACGAGTTCTCCTTCATCGGCATCTCCCACTGCTGGGAGTCTCGGGAACATCCCGACCCTTTCGGGTACCAGCCGCTTGAACTGTCAAAATACACGGTATTGTTGAGATGGTTTGTATTTCTTCAGTCTGATGGTATATAGCCATTGCCATGGACCGTCAGAAAGCTGGGAACTATTAGGCATTTATCCACCCTTGAAGCGTTCCTTCAAGGGTTGAAATCCTTTCAAGTCGGACCGGTCCGAGGCTCAAAACCATAGTGGACGCATGGCACTACTGGAGAGAGGCCGAGCCCGAGACGTACAGAGATGCCAACACCTACTTCTTCATTGATTACATGAGCCTACCCCAGTTCAAGAGAAGTGCAGAAGAGCAGACGTGCTTCCAGCGCGCGATGAAACATATGCACATGTTCTATGCCTCTTGGAACGCCAACTCCATGTTTTTGAAGCTTTTTTGGATTCACCCTATAGCCTGTCTTCTCTGGCTTTAGGGTTTTGAAACTTTGAATTCACCTCACTATGTTCCGTCCTCTCTGGTTTTAGGATTTCTCCTTCCAATCCTGAAATTTGTCCAGCCAGGAAAATGAAGGAATCTAGTGAGAAAAGCATGAGGCCATTCAAACGCCATTTGCATGTGTTTGAAGCCGTTGAGGCGAATAGTAGCGCAATCTTTTGCAAGAGCGTGTGGCGCTTGGAAGACTTGACGCCTGCAGGTGTGAAGAGACAGCACCCCGGTGCAAACTGTGCCCTTTTCACATATTTTTCTGATTTTGCATCATCGACGTTCCTATCGCTCCTCTATTACTCAAACCCTTTTTGCCATGCATTCTCATCTTCAAAATCTGACCCCTAGCTTTCCAATGCGTTCCAAGACCGTTGAGAGACAGGTTGACCTGGTTTTGTAGTCTTTAAAGCAATTTATATAAAAGTACAATAACAATCCTTAATTGTTCGATACAATCCATAAAACAGTGGCTATAGTACCCATTAATCAATGGTGGTTGGAATCCTAGAGACTCAATTTGTTTGTCGCTCATCCTTCGGATTCTCCAGGCAGATCCGCCAAAGGCGGACCATTCCGGTCTACATCCTGGCTGAAGGGAAGGTGGTCGAAGTCCCCCTCAAGCGCTTGAAGCGCAGCGTTGGTGGCAAATGCAGCTCCTCTTGCGACGAAAACTGTCGCAATTTGCACGCGAATGACATCGTTTACCTCGGCCGCGGCTGGTGCAGGGCCGAATTTGAATGGGCCAAGCCCTACACCGTCGACATTTCGCGGCGGGGCGTGTGCCTGCGCCGTTGCTGCGCTTGGTATGACTCCTTTTTTTACAGGTTCTCCCTGCCCTGGACGCCTGAGGCGTTCCAGAGAAGTGTAGCCACCCGCGCGTTGAAATTCACTCACCGCGGTGACATCGACCCGGTGCTCGAATTGCAACGCACGGTCTTTCACCAGAAAGTGGCGACTCTGAAGAATTTCAATTGCAACTGGCTTCCATTCCACGAAGTCCACGACTTGGTGGAGCTTGTGCCGCTCCTGCAGGTGGTGCAGGACTTCACGCTGAATGCCGCCCATGTCGCAAAGTCCCAGCAGCTCGCCTTGGCGACCGCCTTGGCGACTCGCCCGGCACTGCAGAAGGTGGGGATCGGCTCTGTCCAGCTGAGCCCCGACGCGGTGCAAGTCCTGGCCGCGGCACCGTGGCTCCGCACGCTGTGGCTGAACGACTGCGGCCTGGGCGACGCCGGCGCCGGTGCCGTGGCGAACGCCCTGGTGCAGCACCCAACGCTCCGAGAGGTGCAGCTGCAAATCAACGGCATCGGCGACCGTGGCGCGACGGCCTTGGCGTCGGCCTTGGAGTCCAACGACGTCTTGGAGGAGCTCCGTTTGGATTTCAACAAGATCCGCTCCCGCGGCGCCGTGGCTTTGGCCGAGGCCTTGCGAAGCAACGACACCTTGAGACGCTTGGAGATTCGATTCAACCCGATCGGCGCCCAGGGCGTCCGAGCTCTGAGGAGTGTTGCAGAGAGGATCGAGAGGATCGAGATGGACCATGAAGGGCTGGAGTTCAATGCGGACGGCTCCTGGTGCGGATGGATGTGCTGCATCCTGATGCGGGTTTTTGCTTGGATCTTTTTCACATTGATTTTCCTTCCTATGAAATGCTTCACATTGCGGCAGAGGGCCATCGCTTGCATCAGCAGCTGGAGCAAACCTTTTCAAGCTGGGAAGAGGAAGCCAATGGATACTGAGTGATCACGCAGAATCCCGATCAAGCCAGTAAAATGATGTCACCAGAATTTGAAAGATGTGATTTCCAAGCATTTTGCTTGGAGGAATGATGTAGGCTTTAAGCATTTTGGAACGAATTGTTTGAAAAGCCCAGTTTCATCCAACCAGGAGCCTGGCCGCCTTCCGGACCTTGCCGAGCCCCAAACGACTGCATCGGATTGACTGCCTCTAGCGATCGGTCGGTGTCCGATCTGTACCGGGGAGTTCTGACTGGTGAACACATCATCTGACTGGACTTCTGGTGTATAGGAGGTGTATACAGTGGTGGATACCTGGTGTCATTGTATAGTAGGGCGTCATAAAAAGGGATAGGACCGATAACAGCTCCCTAGATCGTGGGATATGTTGGGATCATTATTTGTTCAACTTTTTCAGGTCCATTTCTTTGGGAACCATCGGGAACCATATCCACCACGGCAGAACGCCGCGAACGCCGCAACACCGGCGCCGTGAAGAAAGACCAGCCTCTGACATCCTCTGAACGACATGGGGACGATCCAGTGTCTGTCGATCGCGAGGTCGAAAACTCGAAGATGACCAGAATGACGAGATGCGCAGTGTGACTGTGACGCTCTCTTGTTTGATATTCAGTGTTGATACCCCGAACACTATCATCCATGTTTCGGTTTCGGTCTGAGAGGATCACTGTAAACCAGCTCTTGGAATTCAGAAGCCACTTATCATCGCCCAAAACAGGTGCCCCCGGTCCCATGCGAACCAAAGACATGACGACATCGACGGACTCGTGCAGGTCCGCTGGGCGCGTTCTGCGCGGGGGCCATCCTGGGCGTCCCGGAGCAGAGGAGTTGAAACGTAGCGTCCCGGAGTTGGGATTAGGAGACTGGCTGGAGGTTTTGGAGGTCCAGTCAACCCCAAAGCCGCACTTGTTCCATCTTTGTTCCTTCTTGCTTCTCCCTTCGACCATGTGGTTTTGTTTGGGGGAAAGGACCTGTTTCAAGACACTCATTGAGAGCTCAAACCAAGACACAGGCCGTTGGGTGACTGTTTCTTGAAACTTGATTGGGTTTGGTCAAGAGTTCAACATTCCGGAGACACAACCATGATGACCCATAATTAAACTGAGAAACCTACAGAAACACGATGCATCCACACAATTCAGGACTCTTCTCTTCCCTTCAGCTACAGGAAGATACGGACGAACACCTGTGAAACACATTTTTGGGGTGCCTCTTTTGCCTCAGCAAACGGTTTGGGGACCACTGGTATTGCCATGCCAGCTCTTGGTGCTTCAACTTCCAAGATCACCAGTCTGGCACACTCATTGAGAGATCGGGTAAACACTCCCCCATTCCCCAGATCTTCCAATGAGTCTTTTTGCCTCACCTATGGGAGTCACCAGGGCGCCACTGCCAACGGCGGTGCCGGACTGTTCACGTGTCATGACTGGACTTCCACTGTCCCCGGCAAACACCAAGAGTCAATGGATTGTCACACCAGTCCACTGGGCGACGTGTTTTTTCCAAAAGTTAACTATCAAGGTCGGACGAAGCCGAAGCACTTGATGAATGCAAGGGGAAGCTCGCTTCGCTACGCATCGCTTCGCTTCGCTTCGTAGACGGCTTCGTGGCGGGCCTCGCAGCCTTCGAGGCCTGGCCGCGCTTCGCACGAGGCCTGCGCTGCGCCGTTGACGAATCCGTCCAGAGTTGAGCGGGGACGTGGAATCCTTGGATCGGGGTGTGGGGAGGGTGGTTGCGACGATGCAGCGATGGTGCGGGAAGAAGGGGATCCCGGATTTGACGAAATGGCAGGGCTTTTGCTGGAGCTTTGGAGGGCTGGTCTTATCATCTCGATCAGTTGCTTTTTTGTGCTTCAGGTCACCTGAGAGTTGCCTTTTCTACTCCCGGGTTTGTTTGGTAAAGACTGTGACGAAGACTAGTTGGAGAAGGACACATTGAGCTTCAAGCGCTTTGAAGGAGCAAACATTGGAATCTGCATGAGAATCTGACTGCTGCTTTTTGGAGACCCCTGCTCTCCAAGTGTCTCAAAATCACATGACTTTTTCCAGATGGAAAACCACACTTTTCCAGGTCACCAAAACCAGGCCTTGAGCCAGCGAGCGAGCGGGATGCCGCATTTTTTGCGACAAAAAACATGAACAAGCACATCTCGCAACTCGTTTCTGGGGCCTTCCAAGAGACCTTTGATTCCTTCAAGACATGTCAAGACATTTTCCGCACAAGAATTATTAAGAACACATGTTGTACCAATGTTTTACCATAGAACTAGAGACTAGATGAATAGTGTTGTTGCCTTTTACTATGGTTTACTCTCAAAAGATGTGCAGGAGTAACTGTCTAGAGTCTAGAAAAGTTTTTGCGCGCTGGAAGATGAATTTTCTTGGTAAGGACTGTGAAGGAAGACTGACTAAATAGTTGGTTATAATAATGTTAAAGGAATTTCATCCTCTTTGTGGTTTCAGGTAATTTCAAAACCACAAATCAAGAGGAACTAACAAATCCATGAGGCAACTTCGCCTGCCCTCCGCGCCCTTAACCGCGGCTTCTGTCAGGAGGCGCTGCCGGACAGCCTGCTGCTTCTTCGTGGCGGATGCAACCTCTCTGACAAGAGGGCAGCTTGGCAACTGAGTTTTGCTTGAGAGTTCTGGATGACTGAGAAGAACCACCATGCATGTGCATTGAATCTGACTGGCAATTAATGGTTTTAAAGGATCTAGGATTGATCAAACCTGGAGAAAAGCGGTGGAACAGAATTCTTGCGGTCCCCTCTCCGATGTTAGCTGTGTGTTGGAGAGATGGACGAGACACCACAAGTGAAGTGCCCGTGGGGTAGGTTGATTTGGGAAGACCTGTGATTTGCGGCCTTTGTTGCCACCAGATCATTTTTGATTTGCCCTTATACAAATTTATAGTCATTTTTTGAGGACCCCTACTATGTAACAGCTAACCACTACTTGTACATTGCCTATCTATTTAGTTACGGTTCACTTCGGACATGTAAACACATGCTCCGCCCGTAACTCATTTGGCTCAAGGAAAAAGCCGCGCCCGCGACATTTCCTTGCAGGGTGCCGTGTGTGTTGGACTGTGTCTGACCACACTTTCGTCGCTCTTCGCTTCCGCACCTGCCTGTCCTTCCGTCCGTTCGTTCGCCGTCGTGCCTTCGTTCGTTCGGCTCACTCGCAACCACGGGGTCTCGTCCGTCTGACACACCCCGTGTGCCCATTAATATAGATATAGAGCATCTAGGGACCTAGCGTACTTCTTTTACCACTTACCCCTTGATAGGATAAGCTGGGCATTTCCATACGTCCCTCCTGGATTGTTCACTCAATTTTTATGAGGCCTATCCTATTGCTTAATGTTCTGATATTTTCTGACGTGGGCGAATATTGTCAGGTGACGTCACTTGACAGGGAAACGGTTCTTTTGCGCAGGAGCTTGGTTACTCACAGTCGGTGTTTTCCAAACTCAAGGTCGGCGCACAACTGGAAATAGCTGGCTTAACTGAACGACTTGTTTCTTCAAACAAAGACTTGGAAAGCCCTCATCTTTTCCAAGCAGCGCAGTTCAGATTCTGAAACGCAGCTCAGCCGTATTACTTCTCCTTTCCACACAGGTTTGTCACATGCTTTTGCCCCCGCACTTGAGAGAATGGGACCAATCCATGTTTCATGGCTTCGGAGAGTTTGCTCAAGGTGGGCAGAGAGTCTTGACTTTTGGGGGGATGCAGTGTCCTTTTGAGAAGCAGCTCAGGATGTTTTCGTAGTGGGGGTGCCATACCTACGTATCATAGCATTTAGTATGAAGAACGTTGTTTGTACCCTCGTCATTGGTAGGGGTGTTTTTATAGGAGTTTTGTTTCTTCAACAGTCCTTTTATCATCTTTTATCCCTGTGACTTACAATGCAGACATCATGGGTGCCGCCTTTGATCCATCCAGGAACAGCGCAAACATGCTTCAGACCACGAGCTCTTACCCATCTCCAGCTACTTCTTTATGGACATCCAAACCACAAACCCCACAGCTGAGAGTGAGTACATCAAAGACACTATATCCCATATGGGCTCATCTAGTCTCGTCCAAGTCACCGGCTCAGACCTCCCAAAAAACGACCCCGACCCACCCAGACTCGTCACTCACGGCCTCGCGGCCACCGCAGGGCCGGCGCAGTGCACAAACCGTGGAGCGCCGGCTGTGGCGTGTCGCTGAGCGGTCGAGGCGGGGAGACCCGGGCGGAGGCGACTCGGGCGGAGAGGGTGCCGAAGTGGCGAGGCGAGTCCATCTGCAGAGTGCCTCGGGTGGCTTTGCTGGGCCAAGGGGTCAAAGAACGTCAAAGAGCACCAGGGCATCGAACCGAATGAACAGCAATATTGAATTTGGAAGAGCGCCTGCAGAAGCTGGGGGTGGCTCAAGTAGATTGAAATGTAGCTATAGTATAGCAATGTCTTTGAGCCAGTCGGAGGGAAAAGGGTGGGAACCCTGTTTGTAGGTTGGTAGTTGCTCGAACCCCAAGATGCATATGAACAAGTCACAAGGAACAACCAGTTCGTGTCCGTGGTTTTTACTGGAAAACTCATGATCAGCATGAACTTCGATCGCATGCCCCAATCCAGAAGGCTCCAGCTTCTCAAGCCCAGAGCGGCTTTCTAAGGTGGCTTGACCCCGATCCAGAAGAATCAACATTCACTAGTTTGTGCACAGCCTGCAAAGCACATCAAAGCACTAACAATCTTAAATCAATATACTAGCTACTAAAAAAGCAAGCTCGCATCGGCCAACACATTAGCTCAACACGTTGCACGTATATATCATTTTTGGGCAACAGCACACCAGCTGCGAGCTGCCATGGCCAAAGTACGTCCCTGCACGATTGGCAAAGCATCAGAGGAAGGTGAGGAAGGGCCGGCGCAGCAGGAAGAGTCTGTGGACAGCTCGGAAGAATACGAGCTGAATTCCTTCGAAGAGCCTCGGAGACAAGGGAGTTTGGCGTTTTATGGGCGAGGAATGGTTAAAGTTAAAGTGGAATCAGAGGACCTTCAAAGTGACCGAACTTGATATCCCAGGATGAGGTCACTTAGGCCCGTAAAAGGCAACTTAGAGACTCCAAAGAGGTCAAAATTGAAGGAAGACACATGTGATGACTTCTACTAAGTGCTGTTGAATGCAAGACATGACATCCAGCAATGACGATGCCTCCATTTTCCATTCGGAAAACAATCCGAGGCCTTCCGAAGGTACTGCATCAACGCAAACATTGCGTTGGTGCGGCCAGAGTTCCTGGAAGAGCTCTGCCAAGAGGGGCGGGTCTGGCCTCGGCGGCAAGAGGCTGAGCAAATCCCAGGAGCTGGTTGGCCAAACAGGTTCAGGTTCGCGCACATGTCGCTCGTAGAGCTTATGCATCCTTCGTTTTGATTTCAAGTTGAGAGACAGTTCCGGATATTTTTTTTGTGCCAGCCTTATTCCTGCCAATGAATGACCTTTTCCCATGCTTGGTAGCTGGATTTGCTTAGCAGTTGTACCCAACATCTTGGCCGAATCCCAGCATCATTTGGTTCTTTTGAACAAAGCTGGATTTGGATCAGAGTTTCTCCTTCATAGAACCAGCAGATGTTTAATCCGCTGGCGGCGCCAGACTTGGTACGTACCAGGAGCTTTGTACAAGCCTGGGCCCGATGACAAGTTCTCCTTCATCGGCATTTCGCACTGCTGGGAGGCTCGGGAACATCCCGACCCTTTCGGGTACCAGCCGCTTGAACGTTCAAAATACACGGTATTGTTGAGATGGTTTGTATTTCTTCAGTCTGATGGTATATAACCATTGCCATGGACCGTCAGAAAGCTGCGAAAGTTAAGCATGTTTAAACTCTTGAAGCGTTCCTTCAAGGGTTGAAATCCTTTCAAGTCGGACCGGTCCGAGGCTCAAAACCATAGTGGACGCGTGGCACTACTGGAGAGAGGCCGAGCCCGAGACGTACAGAGATGACACCACCTACTTCTTCATTGACTACATGAGCCTACCCCAGTTCAAAAGAAGTGCAGAAGAGCAGACGTGCTTCCAGAGCGCCATGAAACATATGCACATGTTCTATGCCTCTTGGAACGCCAACTCCATGTTTTTGAAGCTTTTTTGGATTCACCCTATAGCCCGTCTTCTCTGGCTTTAGGGTTTTGAAACATTGAATTCACCTCATTATGTTCCGTCCTCTCTGGTTTTAGGATTTCTCCTTCCAATCCTGATTCTTTTTCCAGCCAGGAAAATGAAGGAATCTAGTGAGAAAAGCATGAGGCCAAAGGGACGCCATTTGCATGTGTTTGAAGCCGTTGAGGCGAATAGTAGCGCCTCTTTTTGCAAGCGCGTGTGGCGCTTGGAAGACTTGACGCCTGCAGGTGTGAAGCGACAGCACCCCGGTGCAAACTGTGCCCTTTTCACATATTTTTCTGATTTTGCATCATCGACGTCCCTATCGCTCCCATTTGCCATTCATTCTCATCTTCAAAATCTGATCCCTAGCTTTCCAATGCGTTCCAAGACCGTTGAGAGACAGGTTGACCTGGATTTGTAGTCTTTAAAGCAATTTTTATATAAAGTATAACAATGGTTAATTGTTCGATACAACCCATAAAACAGTGGATATAGTACCCATTAATCAATGGTGGTTGGAATCCTAGAGACTCAATTTTTTTGTCGCTCATCCTTCGGATTCCCCAGGCAGATCCGCCAAAGGCGGACCATTCCGGTCTACATCCTGGCGGAAGGGAAGGTGGTCGAAGTCCCCCTCAAGCGCTTGAAGCGCAGCATTGGTGGCAAATGCAGCTCCTCTTGCGACGAAAACTGTCGCAATTTGCACGCTAATGACATCGTTTACCTCGGCCGCGGCTGGTGCAGGGCCGAATTTGAATGGGCCAAGCCCTACACCGTCAACATTTCGCGGCGGGGCGTGTGCCTGCGCCTCTGCTGCGCTTGGTATGATGCGGTTTTTCACAGGCTCTCCCTGCCCTGGACGCCTGAGGCGTTCCAGAGAAGTGTAGCCACCCGCGCGTTGAAATTCACCCACCGCGGTGACATCGACCCGGTGCTCGAATTGCAACGCACGGTGTTCCACCAGAAAATGGCGACTCTGGAGAATTTCAATTGCAACTGGCTTCCATTCCACGAAGTCGAAGACTTGGTGGAGCTTGTGCCGCTCCTGCAGGTGGTGCAGGACTTCACGCTATCCGCCGCCCATGTCGCAAAGTCCCAGCAGCTCGCCTTGGCGACCGCCTTGGCGACTCGCCAAACACTGCAGACGGTGCAGATCAACTGCGTCCAGCTGAGCCCCGACGCGGTGCAAGTCCTGGCGGCGGCACCGCGGCTCCACACGCTGTGGCTGAACGACTGCGGCCTGGGCGACGCCGGCGCCGGCGTCGTGGCGAACGCCCTGGCGCAGCACCCGACGCTCCGAGAGGTGGAGCTGCCATTCAACAGCATCGGAAACCATGGTGCAACGGCCTTGGCGAAGGCCTTGGTGACGAACCACGTCTTGGAGGAGCTCAACTTGGAGGGCAACAAGATCCGCTCCCGCGGCGCCGTGGCTTTGACCGAGGCCTTGCGAAGCAACGGCAGTGTGAGACGCTTGGTGATCGAAAACAACCCGATTGGCTCCCAGGGCGTCCGAGCTCTGAGGCGCGTTGCAGAGAGGATCGAGGTGGTCCACGAAGGGTTGGAGAGAAATGCAGACGCTTCCTGGTGCGGATGGATGTGCTGCATCCTGATTCGGGTTTTTGCTTGGATCTTTTTCACCATGATTTTCCTTCCTATGAGATGCTTCAGTTGGCGGCAGAGGGCCATCGCTTGCATCAGCGCCCGGAGGAAACCCTCCCAACCTGAGAAGATTGAGAAAATGAAAAGACCATTGGACGTTTAAGAACCTGATGCCAGTAGCTGCAGAGTGGAGCCAAATCACCAAATGAAGCTGAGGAGATTACAGAATGCAGGCTCTAAAGTTGCGCTTTGACAGATGTGAATTTTACCCTTTGAGGCCTTTTGAGGAGATGGTGTTTTTTCCCAAATGAATGAATTCAGATTCACTTATTATACAGTTTCATCTAATTAATCATGCAACCTGGCCGCATCGCTAGCCCCCTTTGTGCGAAAAAAAGAATCCAAGATGCAGCCGCAGCAGTGTTTTGTGGGCCACGCCCAGCAAAAACCTGCGGGTCGTTTTGTGATCCATGGTGGCAGAGAAAGATCAGTTCGGCCGTTGACCTCAAGTTACTTCAGAAAGACTTGGAAGTAGGACTCAATCAGATCGGGTTCAGATCGCCCGGAGTTGATAGTTCGTTCTTGTTACCGGCGTGAAGGCCGAAGACGTGAAGGAAGACTCAGATTGCCAGAATCAACTACAGACCCCCTAGAAGTCCAGTTCGACTATATATTGACCGGCCGAAGTAAAGGAAGTTCCCGAACTCAGGTCCCCTAAAGACCATTCTTTCTATAGTCTTAAGACTCCCAGGGGATCTGATTCATGTCCGACTCGTTGGGCGGTTCAGATCCACCCCGATTAGTTGGGCGTCAGGAGGTGGACAGGTGGTCCGACTCGTTTTGGCCCTCGACGTGCGACCCGCAAGCCCGCTCCGGTTGGAAACACGGAGAAGTGACCGATTTTTCGGTTTTTGTGTGACTGACGTCGTTCTGGTGAAGTTTCAACATGTTAGCGTTCTGAACCCAAAGTCCATTGATCCAGGCGTTTCGGTGTGGCTCCGGCTCCGGTGTTCCCTGTTGGACCGTGAAATGTTTGGGTCGGGAGAATCCCCGTAACCCGAAGAACGACCGGTTTTTTGAGCCGCGAAGCCTTTCATTTCAACAAAAGACACAGAAGGCAGTTCATTCAGACGAAGGCAACCAGCCCCTGCCCCCAATGCGGACCCATTCCGATCCATCCAAGCGCAGGGTCCTTGGCTTTGGACGTCACGGCGCAGCGGCTGTGGGAGCCCTGGCAGTGGCACGGCGCATCGATGAGGAGCTTCGGCTGCGGTGCCTGTGGATTTCGTGGGGTTCTGAGCATTGGAAGACCATGGAAGGCGGGTTTTGTTATATAATCATGTCTGTTTGCGCTGCATGATGTCACCGTATAGAAGCTTCACCAACCCAACATGCAGAAACAGCGTAGGGTTCACCAGGAAACACCATGTCTTTCAATCAACACACACTGTTTTCTTTAAAGTCGAGGTCGTGTTTTGGGAGGTTTTGGGGATCTCTGGGGAGTGGATTCTGCGAGATCTGGGAGATTGAATCGACGTTGCTGATTTTCACCTCCAAGGTCCCCAGGCCAGGAATTCCCTTGTTTAATCTTGACGGGTATTTTGGGCGAATGTTTGATACACCACGCGTGTGGTTTGGAGAACATGTGACAACGGAGCTATAAAGCTGGAGATGCACGCAGTTTGGTGACTATCCAAGACCACAGTGGCGCATCCATCGAGCTCTCCGGTTAATTATTCCCCCACAAGAACTACGTATAAACGTTTTCTTGCTAAAGAAGCATGTAGTCACTGTAGTCGGTTCCTGGCTTGGCGTGTTTCGATATCTTCAGGTCAGACGTGCTGTCACGTGCCAACCTGCCTGACACCTCCTGACATCTCCTTAAGACCCTCTTAAGACCTAAAGATTCCCTTCCTCACGACTTGGCTCCACAAACAAAACCCACAGCCATCGACCTTCGAAGGTTTCTCATCCTCGCCCTCGCCATCGCCCAGACGATCCAAATGGCGTGGCGTGGCCGCCGAGGCGGTGGCAAAGCGGTTTTGGGTCTTTTTGTGATGGGAAGGTCCCTTTTTAAACCTCACCCACCTGGGAAAAGACAACAGCTCTCTAGTCATCTCTATACTCTACGATCGAAGACGTGACCGAAGACGTCGGATGACAAGGAAGAGTCCGAGCTTTGACCGAGCTTTGGCCGAGCGGTCAATACATGTCAGTCGTGCTGATATTGACCCAAACGTATTTCCACACCTCACCTGACTTGACCCACCTATCATCCTCAATCCAAACTCAAGGTCGGCGCACAACTGGAAATAGATGGCTTAACTGAACGACTTGTTTTTTCAAACAAAGAATTGGGAAGTCCTCCTCTTTCCAAGCAGCTCAGCTCAGATTCTGAAACGCAGCTCAGCCGTATTACTTCCCCCTTTCCACACAGGTTTGTCACATGCTTTTGCCCCCGCACTTGAGAGAATGGGACCAGTCCATGTTTCATGGCTCCGGAGAGTTTGCTCAAGGTTTATGGGCAGAGAGTCTTGACTTTTGGGGATGCAGCGGCTTGCAGCGTCCTTTCAAGAAGCAGCTCAGGGTGTTTTCGTAGTGGGCGTGCCATACCTATCATAGCATTTGGTATGAACCACGTTGTTTGTACCCTCGTCATTGGTAGGAGTTCTTTCTTCAACAGTCGTTTGTCATCTTTATCCCTTTGCCTTACAATGCAGACATCATGTTTGCCGCCTTTGATCCATCCAGGAACAGCGCAAACATGCTTCAGACCACAAGCTCTTCCCCATCTCCAGCTACTTCTCTATGGACATCCAAACCACAAACCCCACAGCTGAGAGTGAGTACATCAAAGACACTACATACCATATGGGTTCATCCAGTCTCATCCAGATGACCGACTCAGACCTCCTATATATACGACCCCGACCCACCCAGGCCACCGCAGGGCCGCAGTGCACGAACCGTGGAGCGCGTGTCCACCGCGTCCGCTGAGCGGTCGAGGCGGGGAGACCCGGGCGGAGGAGAGTCGACTCGGTCGGCGGAGAGGGTGCCGAAGTGGCCAGCCGCTGCATCTGCAGACTGCCTGGGTGGGGTGGCTTTGCTGGGCCAAGGGGTCAAAGAACAAGGTCAAAGAGCACCAGGGCATCAATGAACCGAACACCAATATTGAATTTGGAAGAGCGCCTGCAGAAGCTGGGGGTGGCTCAAGTAGATGAAGTAGCCTATAGAAAGCTTTTTTTGAGCCAATCGAATCGGAGGGCAAAGGGCGGGGAACCCTGTTTGTGGAATGTCACCACGCCTGATTGAAGAGCGAAGTTGAGATTCGTTGATGATATCCTGTATCATCAGGTTGATTGATAGTTGCTCGAGCACCAAGATGCTCCAAGGATTCAGTTCTGAACGCAGATTCAAGGAACAACCAGTTCGTGTCCGTGGTTTCTGGAAAACTCATGATCAGCATGAACTTCGATCGCATGCCCCAACCCAGAAGGCTCCAGCTTCTCAAGCCCAGAGCGGCTTTCTAAGGTGGCTTGACCCCGATCCAGAAGAATCAACATTCACTATATTTAGTGCACAGCCTGCAAAGCACATCAAAGCACTAACAATCTAAAATCAATGCTTTCTGCTATATTAAATGCAAGCTCACATCGGGCAATGCATTATTTGCTCAACACGTTGCACGCATATCATTTTTGGGCAACAGCACACCAGCTGCGAGCTGCCATGGCCAAAGTACGTCCCTGCACGATTGGCAAAGCATCAGAGGAAGGTGAGGAAGGGCCGGCGCAGCAGGAAGAGTCTGTGGACAGCTC